ACCGACGGTGATCCTTGCCTTCTTCTTACTGACATATTGTATCTCTCCAGTAACATAATATGTAGGAATGCGTGTTTTTTTAAGTTTTATGAAATATGTTATGAAAAAGTTATACAGAAGTGACATTAGATTGTTAACGAACGGCTTATTTTTATTATTGCTTGATATATCATTCATTGGAGTGTGATTTGAAAGCAGCTTTAGAGTTTAAATACACACTGATTAATTTATCTAGTTGACGGTTAGTAGGTATTTTTATGAAATTTGGAGAGAGACAAAATAACAGTTAATGTTGTGTATTTAAAATTTTCTTCTCGGTTGATTCCTATTGCCTAAATAAATATTCATATCATCAAGATAGTTTATACTTGCTAACAGCTTTGAGACTGAGTTTTCAACGTAAAATTTTTCACAGAAATGCCGTAGTTCAAGTTACCACACTCCATGTAGCATACAAAGCAACAAAAGAAAGTAAAAGAAATGCAAAATAGGGGCAGTAAACAGAGATATGAGGCAAAATGAATAGTAATATCGAAAAACAATATAGTTTTATTGGATATTATAAGTCACAAGGAGTGAATTCATCTGCGCCATCACTGAGAACGATTTTGAGTCATAGCATCAATTGTCTCCAGGCATTGGTGTTTAACCGTCCCGAGGACCCCAAACAGTCAGGAAGTCTACACCTTTCTACGCGGATTAAACTAACTTTTGTGGATTTCATTGGTTGATGAGGCCATGTTTTGGTCTGACCACCACTGGCTAGCTCTTTTCCAACCTCACCATATGTCAGCTAACATTGCCGATTGTCGAGGAAGGCGATGGTTAGGTACACATGCGTAACGCATGTCCTAACCATTTCAGTCGATGTAACTTCATAACCTCGCCGATTGATTTCCCCTCCTTACCTAGAAGTCGACCGAGGCGTAACTTCAATATTGCTCACCTTATTATACGACTTCACACGGGAGATAGAGTGCAGGAACCTATGATCAAAGACAGCTAGCCAGGTTTTTCATGTCTTCCACTCTCAATGGCCAGGTCTCACAGGTAGCCATAAAGGAGGACGGAGCGGACTGATGAGCAGTACATCCGCTCTTTGGTCGATAGCCAGTCGGATATCACGTCTACTAAGCCAGAGATGGCGTGAACTGGCATATGCGACACTAGCCTTCAGTATCCGTGCTGGGATTTCGTCAGAGATCAACCTGTTGGCCCTGGCTGATGGTACTTCCGAAATAAGTGAAGTGGTCAACGTGCTCTACCACTTCACTCCTTATTTCTATATCACACTCCAATGTAACACACAAAGGTAGAGAAGAGAAAAGAAAAATACGAAAGTACTATAATAAACAGAAATGTGAGAGAAAGAGGGGAAACGTGGAAGAATATAAGAACTTAATAGATGTGAAAGATTACAAAGAGGGAATACATCTGTTCCATTGACAAAGATTTTGCACCGTATCGCCAACAGTCCCAAGGCGTAGATTCCTCCCCTCTCGGCAACGCTTAACAGACAGTTTAAACCTCCCGACTTGGCTAGCTGAAACTATCAATTAAAAGCTTCATGAAGCTTTATGCTGTGTTTCGATTTGACCACCTTTAACTCCTTTCCAATCTAATCCTTTGTTAATTGATTATTGCTCGTCAATGAAGGCGGTGGCTTGGTATGCACAACATGTGTCTTAGCCATCTTAATAGATATGGATTCACAACCTTTTCGACTGACTAACCCCAGTTAGCGTGACTATATATATATATATATATATATATATATATATATATATATATATATATATATATTATAGGTGAAGCGGCATGTGAAACTAATCGATCACATTCTAATGTACAATATCTGGTTTTTGGATAAAGTATATCATCAGCTGATTAAAATAACCTGATCATATAATTCTCGTGCTGAGGAAAAACATTAAAATCTATGCGAAAGCAAGGAATGCAATGACCTCACAATGCAACGTTATTTTAGCTTTTTAAATCAATTGCTAATTTCTGTATTACACAACGTGTTGTGTTACAAATAGGATACTGTGCCTGATTGCTGTTCAAACTTTGATTTGTAGAATACAACCAAGTCGATAATGTATTCATTGAAAATCCTGTATCTATGTCAATAAATTACAGTCTTGTTAAAAGGTCCACGTTGTTTCATAAAGATGATTCCAACAGGAATCCATACATTACTTGTGTTGTATTTGGGGAATTTATCAACGGGTTTTGCAGTGGTAAATTCGATTTCTTAATGTGTATGTTGTTCGAACTCAGGTATCCGGAATCACATTGGTTGTCTGAGGACTGATGATACTACCCAGTTACAAAGACTAAATAAAGTATGTGGAGCGGGACTCGAACCCGTGGTCCATCAGATAAAATTGATTGCTTAAGCCGGTGAGCCACACTTCCATTTCCTATGCATTTAAGGTAAAAAATCTGGCTACTCTGGCTAAGACATTCCTTTCAGTTTTACCAATAAATATTAGTATTATTCCTTTGGGTTCCGAGTGGGACATAGGGCTTCGAGAGCACATCTCCATTTATAACCCCGTTCTCTGGAGTACGTTTCAATTGGCTCCTTGATTACCCATAAGGTTTCACCTTCTGCTCATGTCAGCCTCGGACCCGCCTACTTTTCATTCAGGTTCCACTCAATAGCCCGGGCGTAACAGCATATCTCAATTTATCTACAAACGTGGGACTAAATATACATATTTATTGGCCTAGGTGAATTCTATTCAAAACCCTCCCATCCTTTCTTATTTTCCATTTCCTTCGTACTCTGATTATCTGTCCACTTCACCTTTAGTAATATGTAGCTTTTAATTATTATTATATCCTTTAATTACTAGAGGAACATAGGGCTTCAGCTGCGCGTATCCATTGCCTTCGGTTTCCTGCCAACTTTTTCACCCCACTCCAGGTCTGTCCACATGCTTTCATCTCCTCTTCACATAACCTCCTCCAAGTCACCCCACCCTCAGACGACCAACTCGCCACTTCCCTTTTGGGTTCCACTCGAGCAATGGCTTGTCTAGTGATGTCACTTGATGGTTTCCTCAGATTATGGCCAGCCAATCCACTTCCATTTCTTCCTGCAGATTTGTTGCACAATCGGTTCCTGCTGGGTTGGTTCGCTCATTGCCAGAGATCCCTGTTGCTGATCTTTTCTGGCTGGCCATCTGATCTTGAGTATTGAACGAAGACAACTGTTGATGAAGGTCTGTAGTTTGTTTGAGGTGCTCTTTATGACACGCTGGCCAAGTCTCTGATCCGTTCAGTAGCACTGACTGACTTGACATTGGAGTTGAAGATCCGGATCTTATTTTTGATGGTGAGTGCTGTTGACCTCCACATAGACTTAAGAGTAGTGAAAGCTTGCCTTGCTTTTCTGATTCTGTCTTTGGTATCCTCGTCAGTTCCGTCCGCCTGTAGTTGAAACGATGCTTCCCAGGTAGGTAGGTGAAGGAGGTTGTTTCTTCCAGGTTCCTCCCATTTATGCTGATTGTTGTCTGTTATTGCTCTTGATGTTAGCCAAGAATCTTCATCACCTCTGTTTTATCTATGTTCACTTGAAGTCCTATCTTTGATGCTTCTTCTGCCAACTGTTGCTTTTCACTTGCATATCTTCCAGTTTGTGGGAAATCAGACATATGTATGTTATCGACGAAGTCCAGATCCTCCAAGTTTTTTGTGTGAGTCCATTTTATGCCTGTTTCCTCATTGCCGGTTGTCTGTCGCGTTATCCAATCAATTGCAATCAGGAAGATCATTGACGATAGTAGACAGCCTTGCCTCACTCCCGTCCTCACTTCGAAGGCTTCCGTAAGTTTCCCGTTGTGGATTACTTGGCATGCAGCATTGTCGTACAACTGTTGGATGAAATGTATAATTATCGATGGAACCCCGTAGTAGCGAAGTAGTTGCCAAATGACCTCTCGATCGACGCTGTCGAAGGCCTTTTCAAAGTCGATGAAGTTGAGAGAGAGAGGTGACTGCCATTCTAAGCTTTGTTCAATGATGATCCGTAGTGTGGTGATTTGATCAATACATGACTTGTTTCTGCTGAATCCAACTTGTTCCGGTCGGAGTTTTGCATCCATGGTGTGTTTGATTCTCTCCAGGATGATGCGGCTTAGTATTTTGCTTGAGATGGACAGGAGCATAATTCCGCACTAGTGTTTGCATTGACCTAAGTCTCCTTACGTAACTTTTAAGATTTGACCTAATTTATTTATTGAATTGTCTACATATACACGTATATGCATATACTATCTTTGTTATTCTTATCGCCACCCGCATAAACCTTATTATCAATATTTTATCATTATAATCATCGTTATTAACTACTTTCAAAACATTTTCCACATTATTATTATTGTTATTATTATTTGATCCATAAAATTACCATCATTGGTTACAATTTTACATATAAATATATGTAAATTAGAGTAAAGCCTGAAGAAGATCTGTCTGTCTGGATTCAACATAAAACTTGCCACCGAAGTGCACCAGTTCCAGTTGCCTTGTTCCAAATAGCACACACAGGTAGACAAGAAGATGAGTGAAGAGAATCAATACAGTCTGACAAGTATAAGAGTGGAACAGAATGGGTAATGGTAGAAAGGAATATGAAAGATTACAGAGATTGAATACATCTGCGCTGGCCATTGACAACGATCACTTTGAGCCATGTCACCTATTGTCTCCAGCCATTGATTCCTAGAGTCAGTCCCGAGGGCCCCAACCAGGAAGTCTGCATCTCCCTACCTAACTGACTCAGTTTAACTGTCAAGGATTTCATGGATTGATGCCACGATCTGAAGAAGATCTAATTGAAAACAATATTGTTCGCTTAAATGTCTTCTTCAAATCAAACTCAAATGAATTAAATATGTTTCGTTTGCACAAATGTGTATGAATTTTTATTCATATTTGTGTCGCCTCATCATTTTTAGACAAATTTCCTCGTTTTCTTTTCCATATAGGAAGCCTCACCAATTCGAACTTTACATTTTCATCCCTCTGGTAATTTTTTGCTCGTCGGTACGCAGCATAAAACACGTAAGTTTTTATCTGCCTTTATTGTATTTCACAAACATTTAATAGAACAGTTGCAGGTATGCGAGATATATAATAATCATAATAATAATAATAGCTTTATTCTGGACAGTGTTTAATTTTAAAAAAACGTACAGAATTTATTGCATAGTACTTTTTGTTCTTCGTCCGGCATTTTGAAGTAAAGTAGTAATTGATGCTAGGTCGTATGATACAATACTGTCTGACCTGAAGCAAAAAATCGATCTCTTATGGTATTCCTTCTTTATCTCAGAGAAATATACGGCATTTGTCTAAATACTAATTAAATAAAGTGCGCGAGTAAATTATGCGACCCAAAAAACATATCTGAATGATTAGAGACTTCAGTTCGTTCACTTTTTACCCCGGGAGGTAGCAGTTTGTACTGATGAAAGCCTCAAGGACAATCATCTTACTTATTGGGATGGGATACGTTGCCACCTATGCTTATGCTTTTTCTTGAGTTTAGTTGTAAATTGCTAATCAGCAGATTGCTAACATTTTAAATACTCACGAGAGTAAACACTACCATTAGAGGTCATGCTTTTATAGACTATAACGTGAGAAATAAGATCCAGTATCATGATGGAGGTTTTCGGTAGCTTAAATTTTGAGTGGGGCAACTCCGCCAATATATATATTTAAAAGACGGTTGCAGCGAATAAAATTTTCTTTTCGACGAAGTTATCAACTAGGCTGTACAGTCGTGTATTTATAACAAATGCATGGGAAAGATTCGATCAAACCTATCGAAGGGAGTGACATTAAGGCATCTGAGCATGACCGAAGCACTAACTATCTAAAAGCTCAAACCCACGCTGTGTATCCAAAAGAAATATGTTCACCCCTTGTCCCTGGCGTGGTCATCATAAACAGGTAATTCTTCTAATAGTGACTATCCCATTGACTTTCTTATCCAAACTTCCTGTTTATTCACATTATTTTAAGTTTTTCTTAACCCCTATTTACATTACCATATTTTCATATCTGAACTTCTTGTCTATTTTGTTATTTTATTATTCCTACATATTTAATCCCTGATTGCATAAACAATTATTCGTCACATTAGTTATGATCCCACTAGATTCTTTTATCCAAACATCCTGTCTTTGTTGTTGTTGTTGTTATTTCTACATTTCTAACCCCCAAATGCACAATATGTCAGTCTTCCCAGTAATTATGATGCTACTTTCCCTATTAGTTTGTTTATTAGATATATTACACAGTGAAACAGTATTATATACTGGATGACGTTTCGAACAAAATTTATTGTTCATAATCATATCAATGACAAATGATGCTACTTTGTTTGAGTTTTATCCATCCCCTGTTTATTATGGTGTTTTAATTCCTAACTGTAATTTTTATTAATTTGACCACTAACTGGAAATAATTCTGGAACTTTCTCATCCATTTATCATAAATACACGAATGTCCAGCCTAGTTGATGATTTCGTCGAAAAGAAAATTTTCTTTTTTGCAACCGTCTTTTTAATAATTCCTATGATCCAATGTGTGTATTCATGCGTCGGTGTCATAGCGGTTAGGACGCTCGCCGACCATGCACATGGTCCGGGGTTCGACCCCCAGCCGACACACTCCTTTACCTCGCTAAGCCAGAAATAACCCTGGTAAAGAGGAAAGGTTGGGCATGAGGCTAGCAACCCCATCCTGTAAAAGAAGCACTACTAAAGAAACTTCAAGCCACTAGCTTGAAGCCCAATGTTCCATTGGGGAACGTGAAGAAAAAAATGTGTGTATTCCGTGATATATATATATATATTACTGAAAAAAATGAGTAGCTAAACAGCCGTTCAGATTGATTTATACATTTTGTGTAAATTTTGGAGATTTAGGATGATCTAAACGTACAATGACTACATTTCACAACCTAGATCGTTGTTATGTGTACCCATCACGGGAATTTCATTGAACTAATTCAGTATAATATGAAATGGATTGGTGCGTTGGTGGTTCAATGGTAGAATGCTCCTCTCCAACCACCCAACCACGTGGTCGGTGTTCGATTAAATCTCGACCTGCTTCTAAACCTTCTATACTCAACAGTAGGCCCGAGAAAGGTGGTAGGTTCGGTGTGTAAGGCTAGCGACACTATCTTGTCTAAACACTATTGCTTCTAAAATTTCAAACGTTGGAGCTCTATATTCCAGTCAGAATGCAAGGAATGAAATGATTTGACTGTTGGTAGGTTTTTTTCTACCAGCCTAACTCGTCCCTGGATCCGATCAGTGATAGAAGCATGGGTGCATATTGCTGCTGAGGAGTCCCAAACTAAGACTAAAGAGTTGTCCGATACTACCTGATTTTCAATGGTTCTCTAACCGAAGTCAACAAGTGATCAAACTTGCAGTCACCTCCCTGTAAATCAACACTTAGAAATTAGATAGTAATTTTACCAAAGCGTTTATTGCTTACAAAGAGAAACATTCAGAAAAAAAATCTTGTATTGATTTCCTTAAGACCCCTAGTATTGTAAAGTTAAAGTCCAAATCTTCCAAAGTCTCCTTGTCAGCCCAACGTATTCCTGTCTTGTAACTTCCCATCGTCTCCCGGATCATCCAGTCCACCACAATCAGGAATATAATCTGTGATATTGGGCAGCATTTTCTTACTTCCGTCTTTTCTTCAAAGTCTCCACTGAAATCTCCGTTGTGAATCACTCGGCATGTGGTAACCTCATGATGACTGGTTTGAACATGGAACTTTGCACATATGTGCGGCAGTTCAAGTTACCACTCTCCTTCTATGTAGCACACAAAGCAACAGAAGAAAGTAGAAGAAATGCATAATAGGGACAGTAAACAGAGGTGTGAGACAAAGGAATAGTAATAACAAAGAACAAAACAGTTTCATTGTAAATCATAAGTCACAAGGAGTGGATACAAATGCACCAACCATTGAGAACGATTTTGAGCCATGTGACCAATTGTTTCCAACCATTGATTTTTACCATCCCGAGGACCCTAAAAAGTCAGGAAGTCTTCACCTTCCTACGTGGATTCCATTGACTGGTGCCATGTTTTGGTCTAACCACCACTGGCTAGCTCTTTTCCAACCTCACCATATGTCAGCTAACATTGCCGATTGTCGAGGAAGGCTATGGTTAGGTACACATGCGTAACGCATGTCCTAACCATTTCAGTCGATGTAACTGCATAACCTCGTCGATTGATTTCCCCTCCTTACCTAGAAGTCGACCGAGGTGTAACTTCAATATTGCTCACCTTATTATACCACTTCACACGAGAGATAGTACGCAGGAACCTATGATCAAAGACAGCTAGCCAGGTTTTTCATGTCTTCCACTCTCAATGGCCAGGTCTCACAGGTAGCCATAAAGGAGGACGGAGCGGACTGATGAGCAGTACATCCGCTCTTTGGTCGATAGCCAGTCGGATATCACGTCTACTAAGCCAGAGACGACGTAAACTGGCATGTGCGAACTATCCCTCTGTATCCGTGCTGGGATTTCGTCAGAGATGAACCTGTTGGCCCTGGCTGATGGTACTTCCGAAATAAGTGAAGTGGTCAACGTGCTCTACCACTTCACTCCCTATTTCTTTACCACACTCCTATGTTGTATACTACTCACATCAACCAGTAGTACTGATTTCGCTGTGTGAATTGAGTCAAGTAAGGTACATCGGTGATTAGCTCAGCCCGAAACGAATAAAATCCCTCCTCCGGTGTTTAGATCTGGCTAGTTAACACTATTAATTGATTATGGGTGGTACACAACTACTCAGCTCAGTCACTCAGTAGTAGCACATAGTTTTATGCTTCGTTTCTTGACTACCACTTTATAGTATGAAGCAGATCACATGTTGTGGTGATTTGAATAATTTTGATTTCCAAAACAAAATGCCGTGAAATCTCACCTTGAATTGTGTAAATAGCAAATTAATTTGCGAAATTGATTTAACGTGCTATATGCTACTCTTTTTTTCTTCCTCTTGTATTTCTTATAGTTCGTTTATATGATGTACAAACTTGTCGTTGTTATGTATCAGCTGTACCAGAAGATCAACATCTAAGTGCAGTGAACATGGTACGATGGTCTCCTAATGGAACAGCATTTGTAACTGCTGGAATGGATGGCAGTTTCAAGATATGGGATGGAGTTTCATGTAGATGTGTAAATACCTTTGAAGCTGCACATGATGGAGCACCTGTGTGTTCTGTAGTATTTTCACGTAATGGCAAGGTATGTTAGAACACGTAACCTATGGGCTTTTATTCAAAAGCGCGATGATTTGTCATATATATATATATATATATATATATATACTAAATTATATATATATATATATATATATATATATATATATATATCTTCCCCTAGGTTCTGTCTGGAGCATAAGGCTTTAACAATCATCTTTAGTAGCCAGCTCTGCGATTCCCCACAACTTTCATCTCCTCCGCTCACGATCTTCTCCATATCACTCTTGAACATCCAACTCATCGTTTCCCATTCGGGTTCAACTCAGGAGCCTGACGCTCAATGTGACTAAACTGTTTCCTCAGTGTATGTTCGATCCATCTCCATTTCTACCGTCATATTTGTTGTGCAAGAGGTCTTTAAATTATCCTTTTCAGAGTCGCTTGTTCCTAATCTTTTCTGGCCAGCCGTCCGATTTTCAGTATGGAGCTAGCGAAGGTAATTGTTTGTGAAAGTCGTTAGTGGCCTGTGAGTAATGCCTTTCGTGAAGCACTCGCCAAGACTCTGACCCATACAGAACTGAATTAATAATAGTGTTGAAAATCAGAATTTCGGTTGTTATTTTGACTGAAGCGGATTTCCAAACTAATTTCAGGGTGACGAATGTCTGCCCTAATTAACCGATTCTGTCTGGTTTTGACATCTTCATCCATGCCGCCTGTAGTTGAAACGATGCTGTCTAGATAAGTGGAAGAAGTGACCTCGTCCAAATTTCCTCCATTGATAATGATTAGTGTTTGTTGTTGGCTGGTGGGTATCTATCTTCATTATACCTCTGTCTTCACTTCCTGTTTATTCTGCCAGCTTATTGGTTTTCGCCTGTGAGTCTTCGATTGTGTGCGACACTCTCAACATAAGTCATCTAAAGAGTTCAGATCCTCTAGAGTCTTCTTATTGATCCAATGTATTCTTGTCGTCCCGATTCCCAAGTTCTGCCACGTAATCCAGTTGACCACAACCAGGAGTATCATCGGTGATGTTGAACAGTCTTGTCTTACTCCTGTCTTCACATCGAAGGCTTCATTAAGTTTTCGGTTGTATACCACTTGACATGTAGCATTATCATATAGCTTTTGACAGTATATTTCTACAAGAATTTAAAACAAGCAATAAAGGTTAATAAAGCAGGATTTAATGAATTCATCGAATTTTGGTAGAACTCGTCAGCTGAATACTCTAAATACACGGATATATATACTTTCGAAATTGCATTGGGAGATATAAGACTGATAAATTAACAAACTACATTGAATCAGTCATGCAGAAAGACAGGTGCGAGTGTTTTCCAGGTCATGTTCAAATAGATAAGGGGAGAGAGAGTATGAGAGATCAAAATTACATCACTTAGATAAACAATTAGTCGTTAGAGTATATAACGAGAATTGCAAACAGACTAATATCAGTAGTAATAGTTATAATAATAATAATAGTGCTGAAGTGAGTTAAGATAATCCTACTGATAAAGGATAGCTTTAAATGAATCAAGAATAATAATACTAACAATAATAATAAAAGGTAGAATAATAGGTAAAACGTATTACCACGGTAGATTCAGAGTCACGACCATCTCCTTTTGTACATAGAGACCTGGTTTATAAATTCGAATTGCACAAGCCTCTGTAATTGCAAGCATCTTCTTGTTTATTTGTCTGCTGACAATAGTGAATGACTTGACCGCGTCGATATTATGTCCGTAATCCACAAGATGTTTTGTTATTGAGGATTTTGGCACTTTGCACTCAGCTGTTTTCAGCCATTTCGGCAAATGCTGCATCATTTTTTTCCCTTCACGTTCCCCAGTGGAACACAGAGCTTCAAGCTAGTGGCTTGAAGTTCCTGTAGCAGTGTTTATTTTACAGGATGTTAACGAAAACAAGTTTTGCAGCATAATAAGTTATCTTGATAGCTTTGTCGAGTCTTCGTTTGACTACTTCCTGTGCATCATCTCTTTTGAACGGCAAACTGATATAGACAGGTTTCTTCGGTACTGTTCGTTTGTCAGCTGACGAGTTCCACCGAAATTTGATGAATTCATTAAATCCTGCTTTATTAACCTTTACTGTTTTTTTTAAAGTATATTTCTAAATGAATAAATTCCTCATATTTGGGCAAGGGAACAAGTTATCGATTTAAGCCAGAAAATAACTTACACAATAATTTTCATTGCAGTGTTATGCCATAACAATGCCAGAAGCTAACATAATATTAAGTTTCTATGTATAAATTACTGGCAAAAATGTAGGCGGTTATTTTAATTCACACTGGCGTCTAATCGTTAAGAGCCTTGTTTACACGTTTGCGAACTTAAAAATAGACAACAAAATTAGTAGATTTGATATATACATATAATTTTACAGTATATAAAAAGAATACAGTATATTTATCAATTTTGTTTTCCTGTAAATATTTTTGTCTCACTCTGTGAAGACAAATCACAATACTTACCAGATAAATTTCGATACTACAGAAAATCAGTGTTAAAGAGCCATCGAAAATCAGCAGTTTAATCCTAGAGTAATAGGAGTCTTTGGCAGTGTGTGTGTGTTTCCATAGTACAACCACCCTTCAAACCCAAAATCATCTGGTTACATGACGATCACTCTTACCCACACTGGCTGAATGATAAACATCTTGTAACCTGAAAGACTCTTCAGCAGTACGCACCCACCGGGATTCGAACCCAGGACCTGCTGGTTACAAGGTGAACTCGTATACCATTAAGCCACTAGGACCCAATCTAATCGTCAGCCCATGAATTCTAACTTCTGCCAATTCACGACATAGCGCTACCCGAAGCCAGTGTCTTCGGTGAGTATTTGTCCTAACACCCGATCTGCTGCACCCTACTGATCACGACTTTTTAGTATGTATTATTGAAACGTTTCATATTAAGTAGTGGTCACTATGTGGGTGGAAATAATTGTGTCAGAGCTATGTGATATTGTGTGAGTCTTCTCATTGATGTGATAAAATATCTCCAAAGATCAAAGAAATCTCGACAAACTTACTTGTGAATGAATGATAGAGCAAAAATAATACTAACACAACCCTTAACGGTCACACATTGTTCAATTCACTCCGTATACAAATAATGATTTTCTTGAGAGTTTATTTATTTTTGGAATAGAAATAGAGACGTAAAGCGTCAAGTTGAGAGATTTGAACTAATGACAAAATGACTCACTTTTCTTCAAATAGCTTAACTTTTATTATAACGCAGAGTTGAATAGCAGAAGAAAAAAAAGGCAATTTCTTTATAAGCGGTATATATATATATATATATATATATATGTTTATCAATAGAGTAGGTAGTTTCATGTAATCTAAGTAGATTTTTACGCTTGATAAAATTTCATCATTTAAGCTTATTGTGAATTTTCTTCTTTCAGCTTAGTGTGAGTAGAGTATTCACTAGTATTCGTCCATGATCCGGGTTTCGGGATGATGAAATTCTGTAGGGAGTAGCTGAACATTTATCCGCTTAACTCTGAATCAAATGTCCCCCAAGTTCTTAATCTCCATTCATACATGAACTAGTTAGTCATTACTGACTACTTGACCACTTCACCTATTTGGGAAGTTGTATTAGCACCAACGAACTGATTGGCGATGAAATCTCGGCACGGACCTAAAAAGCTCGAGCTGCTTTCGCTGACTTACACCATCTCTGGCGTAGGCGTGACATCCGGCTAAAGAAAACCGAAAAAAGGGGGGCAAAAAAAGCCACAACTATAAGGGGGAATCGGTTGGGGCCCTCGGGACTGACTCTAGGAATCAATGGCTGGAGACAATATGTGACATGGCTCAAAGTGATCGTTGTCAATGGCCAGCGCAGATGTATTCAGTCTCTGTAATCTTTCATATTCCTTTCTACCATTACCCATTCTGTTCCACTCTTATACTTGTCAGACTGTATTGATTCTCTTCACTCATCTTCTTGTCTACCTCTGTGTGCTATTTGGAACAAGGCAACTGGAACTGGTGCACTTCGGTGGCAAGTTCTATGTTGAATCCAGAAAGACAGACAGACTGACTACCGAAGTCCTCTATAAGTTATTAGGTGACGTTGTGATCAATGCGTGTTCAATTCAATCGTGTGTGTCAGTGCAAGCTATTCATTAGTGGTAATATTAAATCACTGTGGTTACTGATGAAGATTATTAGTAACTAGAGATTTGGTGTTGACCCTTTTACTGAATAAGAATGCCCTCGCCTATGAACAGTCATAGAGTAACAATAGAAGACAAGGGCCAGCCAAACAGATCGTTTATTTAGGAAATCAACACATATTTATAGATTTATATGTACATTATTATAGATTATTGTAAGCAAAGAAATACAGTCTTCTGATTGGTGGTTTCTCTCTGAACGTTAATCTTTCATCTCTTTGTGGCCGTTTCTTGAAGTTCAGATAATCTATCTGCAAATTGTATCCGCCTACGCAGTCTGTCGTGATTGGTTGTTGAATCAGTCTTTGTTCTTATTTTTCTCACGACCAATATTGGGGACATAAACATTGACGTAAATTACTGTCTACCAATCTGGCTAGCAGCCAGCTCTTGTCACAATAGGTCTCATATATCATGGTCCTTACTGCTACTCAACGTCCACTCTTCTTACACAAACGTTAAAAGTGTCATTTCATTTGAATGGTATCGTCGACTGTGCTTTGGATGGATGATACTGTGCATAATGGACTTTCATTATCGACTGCACTTATCAGACAGCAGAATTAATAAACTGTTTTAGAAGACTTTCTGAAATAGCAACAACAAGCACCAATCATTGTTAACAGGCGAATTTTGAAAGATTTCACTTATCTGGGCAACATCGTTCTAGCTATATGCAACACGGATGACAATGTCAAAACCAGAATGGGAAAGGCAAGACAGACCTTCATCAGTTTGGAAATCTTCTGAACTCAACGTGAAAGACAAAATGCCGATTTTCAATATAAATGTTAAGTTAGTTCTTCTATACATGTCAGTGTCTTGGTGAGTCACGAAAAGAGTTTCCCATAAGCTGCAGACTTGTGGGACCAGCTAAAGGGGGACTGCAGAAAACAGAACAAAGTGAAGAAGTGCTGTTAAAGCCCTATGTTCCTGTCGGAATAATAATAATAACCAATAATTTTTCCTTCACGTTACCAGCGGAACATGGGGCCTCAAGCTAGTGGCTTGAAGTTTCTTTAGCAGTGTTTATTTTACAGGATGGGGTTGCTAGCCTCATGCCCAACCTTTCCTCTTTACCAGAATTATTTCTGGCTTAGCGAGGTAAAGGAGTTTGTCGGCTGGAGATCGAACCCCGGACCATGTGCATGGTCGGCGAGCGTCCTAACCGCTATGCCACCGACCAAGGGAATAATAATGATTCAGAAAACTTTCTGAAACACTTAGATACGCTGTAAGCAGAGGAGGATTGAAGGAATTCATAATGACTCAATAAGTTTACTGCTAGATTGTATTTATATATTCATATAAGTAGAAGAGATGATGAAAACTTACGCTCAATAGTTCGTGTTTTTTTCATCTATATCGTTCTTATTGCTCATACCTCTTTCTTTTATCACATGTGTTTGACCTGGTCACCTGCTTGTAATTCATTGTGCTCAAAAGTACTACGAATAAATTGGATTTGTAATTGCATCACCACACTTGCTGGTGGTAATCACATTTCTGTATATAGTAAATAGTTTTGAGTAACTCGGTGTTTTTTTTCTCTTTTTTTAGTATATACTCAGCTCGGGTAAAGATAGTGCTGTTAAACTATGGGAATTAGCTACTGGACGATGTCTTATCACATATACAGGAGCAGGTACAGTTGGAAATCAATCACATCGATCAGTGGCTGTTTTTAATCATACTGAAGATTATGGTGAGTAAAAGTTTGTCTTGATTGTTGAATTTTGCCTGAACTATATGTGCTTCTGCTTTTTATTAACAATTATTGATGGTATGCAGTTTAGAAGTACAGGTCACCAAATATTTCGTGTTTTATTGCATGGAGGATTTCATCGTGAGCCGATATCACTTAGAGAACCACTGGAAAACCTGAGAGTACTGGACAGCTGTTTCGTCCTAGTTTGGGACTCTTCATCAGTACGCAACCCCGCAGGGGTTCGAACCCATGACCTTCTGGTTACAAGGCGACTGACCCTATTCAGGCAGTTAACCAGTTCTAGTGAGAAGCCGTGACCACTAGGGTACAGCAGGTTGAAGATGAGGCAGTAACTCATCGAAGAAGACATTGCGAAATAGTCGCGCTATGTCGTGAATTGGCAGAAGTTAGAATTCAAAGGCAATTGGATCGGGTCCCAGTAGCTCAGTGGTCTACGAGCTCAGGGGTCTTGTAACCAGAAGGTCATGTGTTCGAACCCCTGTGGGGTGCGTGCTGATGAAGAGTCTCAAACTATGACGAGAAAGCTGTCCAGTACTCTCAGGTTTTCCAGTGGTTCCCTAACTGATGTCAGCTCATGATGGAATCCTCCAAGCAATCAAACAAAAATCCCTACAAAAACCAATACTTGAAAATTTCGTGTTTTGTTGTATGATGACTGACTGAGCTGCGATATAGAAGTTTGCACAGAAGTACACCAGTTCAAGTGTTGCTACACTCCCTGTAGCACACAAAGGTAGACAAAGGAGAGAAAAAAGATTGTTCAAGAGAATGATAATAAGCAGAAATGTGCGAGAGAAAGAATAGTAACATAGAGAAAAACATAACGGGGTATGGTAGATATTGGGTTTCTAAGGGAATGAATCCATCGGGATCATTAGGAAGGATTTCGATCCATATAACTAATAGTCCCCACGCATGGATTCTTAGCATCTCGAAGTCCCCAACCTTGTAGGCAGTGTTTACCTTCCTATGTGGCTGACTAGAACCAACAGTTAAAAACTTCATATACTGGCGACTGATTTTGTTTTGACCACTCGTAACATTTTTCCAACCTAATCTTATACTGGCTAGTATTGCTCATCGAGGAAGGCAGCTGTTCGGCGTGCATCGTAACACGTGTCCTATCCATCTGAAATGATACAACTTTACAACCGTATCGATCGCCTTACCCTCCTTACCCCTGACACTTTACGCCTAATCTCAATAGGATGAACTTCTTATCTACTGTGTAGTGATGATATTGGTCATATCTCATATCAATATGTGACCTACATTAGAATACGAGTCAGTTATGAGGTGTGCCAACACCATCACCACCACCATATGAATGCATGAATTATGTTCACTATAACCAGTTTCAGTCTCTAAAAACGTGAACATATGGTGTAGCCAACTGGATAGGAAATTGCATTTAAATCTAATAACTCAAGAATAATCCTAGTAACTTCACACACCCTCTAACAACTGGAATAAAGCAAAAACACAATAAGACGTAGTTTATCTGAAATGTGTTATGTATTGGCGCAACACATTTCGGACATTCTGATCACACACGTGCACTTGTCATACACAGTTTTTAAAAGAAGGCAAAAATGCATGAATAATTACAATACATGTCAGATTGTGTACAGGTCAAGGTCACAAATAATGGGTAGGGAGACGCAAAAGGTGTGTGTAAGAAAGAGAAAAAACAAGGCAAAGAAGGGATTGAAAATATTATGAAGTAAATTGGTCCTCGGTTCTAAATTGGATTACCAAGGCAGGTTTAGGTCTTTTTATGGCTAAGGCTTCAATGAATTTAAGTACGTGGCCTAACCTTGTTTTATATGTCGTTCGAAATGTGTGTTGCGCCAGTACATTACATGTTTCAGATAAACTACGTCTTCCTATTGTGTTGTCGAAATTCATAAAGGGAACTAATTGCTTTAAAGCAAAAACAACGGTTTGTGCAGAGTAAAATAATACCATCGTTTATTTCTCTGTTTATACAAACTTACACGTATCTACGGTAGCAGTTACATTAAGAAAATGGAAAGGACACACCTTTGATTTTCTGAACATGTACCAAAAAGCCTATGTCTCAAGGGAACAAATGTTTTCAATAGTTCCATTGTCGGACATCTCGTCGATACGTGTTATGAGGTTGACGCTATAAAATTATGAATAGAAAAAAAGAGCTCGAGTTTGCCGAAGCAAACGCCTGAAACCTGATTTATGTGTTGAGGAAGAAGCAGGTATCAGTCTTCCCTCGTCCTGGTATCTGGAGGTTTCTACTCTTTTTTTATTTAATTGCGTAATCCTTGGCTTTAACCTTTGCCCCTACACTACAACATAATTTTTGCTTGTCTGTTGTTTGTGATTCAAGTTGAGTTCACCATATTGTTACTCAGCTTATTAATTACTCATCATCGTATTCACCTCTTGTATTTATTACGCAACTCCTTTGCCATTGAATCCAAGCATCTGCTTTTTTGTCTAAATTGAACTTGAAGCAACGTAAGTGTAACTTCTGAGCACTGCTTATTAAGTTTGTAGTCTCCTGTCAACTGACATTTGCAAGTATGTTAAAATTGTCCTGTACGTAAACTTGATAATTTCTTTTAGGCTGTACGCAACTGATTAGAAGCCAATGTAATAAACGATGGCATCATCTCATCCTACACAAAGTGTTTATCTTGTTTCAATGAAATATTCCAAGTTTTAGTGTATTTGTTTGGTGCTGGTTGGATCATATTGTCCACGAAAGTTTCGATGTAATACATCACTTGAATAAGTTATCTTCAGTCTTTTCGGGAACCAACACGTGATGTAAAAAGGAACCAGTTGATTTAAACTACTCAAACGATATTACCATATTAGGCACAGGAAAAACTCTGACGAAGTTCAAGTTGGAAGTCGTCATTAGGTATTCTGCGTGCTTTATTTTTCATCGTGGATATTACATAAGCAATAGCTTCATGAAATATCTATAAGTCTTCTAAACGCCTTTGGCATGCGATTCGCTCTCGCCAAATGTAAGATGATGTTACAGGACAAGACTACATTGACTCGTAGTTTAGAAATAAAGAGTGCGGTGGTAGAGCAGGTTGACCGCTTCATTTATTTGGGAAGTTGCATCAGCCACCCCAGCGGGTTGATCTCTGACGAAATCTCAGCGCGGATACAGAGGGTTAGTGTCGCATATGCCAGTTTACGCCGTCTCTGGCGTACACGCGATATCCGACTCGCTGTCGACCAAAGGGCGAGTGTACTGCTCACCATTCCGCTCCGTCCTCCTTTATGGCTAGCTGTGAAACCTGGCCATTGAGAGTGAAAGACATGATCTTCGATCATAGGTGCCTGAGTTCTATCTCCCGTGTGAAGTGGCATAATAAGGTGAGCAATATTGAGGTTTGGCGTCGAGTTCTAGGTAAACAGGGGAAATCAATCGACGAAGTTGTGAAGTTACATCGACTGAGGTGGTTAGGACATGTGTTACGTATGCCTAGTCATCGCCTTCCTCGACGAGCAATGTTAGCGGATATAGGGTCAGGCTGGAAAAAAGCTAGCGGCGGTCAAACAAAAACTTGGCACCAGTCAATGAAATCTATAACAGTTAGTCTAAGCCACGTAGGAAGCTGTAGACTTCCTGACTGTTTGGGGTCCTCGAGATGGTAATAACCAATGGTTGGAAACAATTGGTGACATGGTTCAAAATCGTTCTCAATTGCTAGCGCAGATGCATCCACTCCTTGTGACTTATGATTTACAATGAAACTGTTTTGTTCTTCGTTATTACTATTCCTTTGTCTCACACCTCTGTTTACTGTGTACTATTATGCACTTCTTCTACTTTCTTCTCTTACTTTGTGTGCTACAAGGAGGGAGTGTGGCGACTTGAATTACCGCACATATGTGCAAAGTTCTATGTCAAAAACAGACAGACAAGTTCGAAGCGTAACATTTCGACTCTATTTTATATCTGAGATACCTCTGTTATTAATAAAACACTTGATGGAATCAAAGAGGGAATAACGTGACGATTGGATCGTTAGAAAGCCAACACAAGCATATGAGTTGTTTATCTTCAGTGGTGTTAGCTGAAGTTTTTTATCAGGTTAGAAAAACTCAGAAGTGACTGAAACAAAACATAGCAGCAATATTCTATAAAAGTTTTCAACTGTTAGGGGTATGGGCTGTTTTACTGAAATCCAGGATTTGTAACAAGCAATGATTGTGAAAGCTTAGTTACATGATTAGGACATTTCTACTCTGTAAGTTTCTAAATGGACTTAGTTAGTATGGGACTTTTCACCAGTGGGTCACACCTCCCATATATATATCACCTCTTATGAATAAGTGTACTTCTTAGTCCGGTATACTATTTTATATCTATTCACTTGACTAATTTTGGTTTCGATGTAAGTTAGATTATTGTTGTGCAAATTTCTACCCTGACGTGTTCTTTTTCAACAATTCTTATTTTGAACCACGAGTTGAGTACAGTTAAGCAGTAATTTTAGTTGAGCACTAATCACTATGCAACACGATAACCTACTGCCTGAAATTTTAGGGTGAGATTCAGTCATTTTAAAGGGTTTTTTTCAACACACCTCCAATAAGTGCCTTTACATTAATATAGAAGTGTATGTGAATAAAAACATTCACACATAAATACAAGACAATTCCTTCAATGATTATCGTCTTCTTATTAATTCGGTGTTTTATCACACTAGGAATATTTGGAGTATCTACCAAAAATGTAAACTGATAGTAGTTAAGCGTTCAGAAAGTCACATCAACCTGGATGACTTTGTTAACATGAAATTTTACTATGAAATTCAAAATAGATTACACATTAGATTATTGTTTCTATAATGTACACTTTCATCTGTGCAACTTTTAATTCCATTTTTCATCAAATAGTACTCTTTCCGGATGAAGCAACAAAAAGCTTATGCTGTTGGGATTCGCGTAATGCTGACAGACAACGCTTACTAGCGCTAAGTAAGTCTTATTATTATTATTTTAACACTTCAGTACCTATTTACACTGTATGTGATACTATTTCTTCGAAATTATTCAGTGTTGAAGTCGTTAGGTTTCATGGATGCACCGGTGTTTTTAAATCGCAAGAAAACTCCATAATTTTTTTTTAACGCTTGCTCTCAAGGTACCAGACGTGGTGTAGAAGGCCAGTATGTGAAGATCTCGGAGTAAGCAACTCGTTAAGCATAACCCATAAGCTTAGTCCAGCGTTTTGCTATGAGATACACAGTCTTTTAGTGTTAATATACAATACATATAAAAGAGATGCCAACAAAACAAACCATCTCTAGTGGTTAGTGAAGGCTACGTAGTAAGTAGCAGGAATGATAAGTTGAATTCGATGTGATCATCAACCTCTATCCGATCAGTAATGATAGCTAACATACATCCACACTAATTTGTGTATATAAATCCGCAAAAGTTGTTAGTTAATACAGACTGATTATATAGTGATGGTGTCTGTGGGAGTTCCAGTTTCAATTCCTGGCCGAAACGCTGCTAAACACCGCCCATTTTCCCAGTGTCTAGAAACCTCACCTCTGCTGGAACTTCACAGTTTGAAGTTGTATGCTCCATTTGGAACATAAAAAATGAGAAACTCAATTCCTGTTAACTTTTTACACTTCACATTATCAATTATTTCAGTTTTTTGTAAGCATTTTACTAACGAAGCTGTACTACTTAAATCTTATTGGTTACTTTTGTTTTCTCATTTAGATCACAATGGTCCAATCAGATGTTTTGTTCATTCGCCAACAACAGCAGCATTTATGTCATGTAGTGATGATAATCGGGCAAGATTTTGGTATAAACGCCCTATATCAGATTAAATTATGCATACGTACATACATAAATGTTAGACATCATCATCATTAAAATAAACAATTTTGTTTTGTATAAACCTGAGTTCTGTTTTGTTTTGATATTGATATCATTCAGACTAATAAACAATAAACGAGATATGTGTATTTGTGAAGCTAGTAAATTTATTCAATCTATTTAAATAATAATGAAAGTGATAGTATGTGTGTGTGTAAAACTGCTTGCACACATAAAGCTAAAGAAACAATGTCTATATCTTGATTACCTAATTGTGAAGCTTGACAGAACAGCAAGATAAATGTTTGATGATATAACTAACTCAAGGGAAAAACAGAGTTGTTTTGTTTAACCAGCATGTCGATTCACTTTTCGTGATGATTCAACATGCAGAGGTAGATTATACTTTTTCCAAACAGTACACAATGAATCAACTAGTTGTTCAGTTAATTTATCTGTATGATGCGGTGTAGGTGCAATGCGTAAACGTTCATCGCCAATATCCACTGTTGGATAATTTATAGATTGTACATAGATATTGTGTTCCGATAATAATTCTTCGGATATTTTTGTGCATAATTTTGCTTCACCAACCTGTTAGAACAAGAGAGAGGAAAATACGAAACTGATAATTACCTCATTCAACAACTAATAAGTAGTTCAGGGTCCAGAAATATCCTGGACCGACACGAAGAACCTAGAAGACCTGGATTTCGCGCGTGGGTGATTTATGTTTGATGTCACACAAAACCGAAGACTTACAAGCGAAAACCGACAAACTGGTCGAAGAAACAGCCGACGAAGACAAGACTCCAAGTGAACATAGACAAGAAGGAGGTGATGAAAATAACCAACCAACAAGAGCAACAACATCCAGTGTCAATCACAGTCAACGGGAGGGATTTGAAGGAGGTTACTTCATTCACTTATCTAGGGAGCATTGTCTCAACTACAGGCAATCGGAACGGACGAGGATGTCAAATTGAGAATCAGGAAGGCGAGAAACACATTCACCAACCTGAAATCAATCTGGAAGTCTTCGTCACTCAACATCAACAACAAAATTCGGATTTTCAATACAAACGTAAAGTTAGTTCTATACGGATCAGAAACTTGGCGCATGGGTGACAAAGAATATTTCCAACAGCCTATTGCAGACCTTTATTAACAACTGTCTTGGCTCCATACTGTAGATCAGATGGCCGGGCCGGAAAGAATCACCAACAAGGAACTATGGGAATAAACAAAGCAAGAACCAATCGCCCAACAATTATGCAGGAGAAAGTGGAGATGGATCGGACACTCGCTGAGGAGACCGCTGGGTGACGTCGCGCGCCAAGCCCTCGAGTGGAACCCGAAAGAGAAGCGACGTGTGGGACTTCCAAGAGTGACATAGAGGCGATCGTGTGAAGGAGTTGAAAGAGTATGGACTAACATGGATGCAGGTGAAAAGTACAGCAGAAGACAGAAGCAAGTGGAGACGTGCAGTTGAAGCCCTATTTTCCACTAGGAACCCAAGGGAGCAATAATAAACAATAATAATGAAAGTTTTTTAATAATGAAAATAACATAGAGTACCCAACCAATGGGTAGCTCCCTATTCTTGAACGTTTGGAGGTGAGTTAGTGTATATGTAAGCAGTGTGTAACTGAGATTGCGCTTATTTCAGATGGGTAGTATGCGTATTGCTGTCTCTCAATGTGGTCAACATAAACTGGGAGCAGCTTGATTGGTTTGTTGTGTATACCTCAGTTATTGTAATGATTAACCACTTCTACAGCCTTTGAAACCTACCTGTTTAACGTTCAGAATTAGTATAGCTGACCTGGGAATATTAGCTTTGTTTCACCAGACGTTTAGCATTAAATAGATCTATTGCTTTGATCACGGACTGGCGTCAATTAGAGAACCAGGAGTACCGGACAGTGGTGATGTTAGCAGTATACACCCGACTACAAAACGAGCTTGGAGACTATTCAACCACTAGGACCCGATCCAATAGCCATCACAATTATTCCAACTCCTACGAATTCACGACACATAAAGCGCAACCACCAGCCAGTATCATAGGCAAGTAACTTTTCTCTTACATGACTTGGTGGATCCCGCTGATCATGAGCCATTGGGTCGATTCCCGGTGGCTGGATGGTCTACGAGCTCACCTTGTAACCCGAATGTCCTCGGTTGTATCCCTGACAAAGTCATGGGTGCGTGGTGACGAAGAGTCCCGAAACAAGAAGAAACAGATGTTCAGTACTTCCTAGTTTTTCAATGGTTCTCTCACTGACGTCAGTTTGTGATCAAACCTGTTTGTAATCAATCAATTCCCTGCAAACGGTCACTTGATAAACACGTTTATAGTTTTAAAACATGTGAAAGAAAGCCAAAGAGAAAATTTTACTGGTCTGTATTTGAAGAAGTCAACAAAAGTCGAATTTCTGTTAAGGACCATCTAGACTCTGTCAAATTTTCGGAGAAAATTTGAATTCCTTCGCGTTCTTTTTGTGCCATGGATCGTGATGTCGTTTCTAGTACTCATTGGAAGAATCCTTCTCCCTTTAAGTAATAAATCAATTACATTACAGATAATGTGTGTGCGACATGTGGAAATAATAACGAATAGTGAGGATTGTAGTAGCATGACGTTTAAAAGCATACTTCTAGCATGTTTCCACTTTCTTGTGCTTTGAATAATGACATTTAAGTGTTATTAGTAGTCTACCAATAGTCCACAATAACTCGTATCGCTGATAATGACTAGTTAATATAAGGAGCTTACATGTAATGGAATAATATGCGAAGGTGCTTCTATCACAGGTAAACCTTCTTCACGAAGCCTTTGACGTACAACAGACACCCTTCTTTGGTGTTCTGCACGAAGTTCTCTGCCTTCAGAAGACTTTAAAATTTGAATGGTAGCCCGTGCAGCAGCTAAAGAATGTGGTGGTAATGATGTAGTGAATATAAATCCAGAAGCATAAGATCGAATCATATCTACGAGTTCAGAGCTTCCAGCTAAATAACCACCGACACTAGCAAAAGCCTGAAATATAAAAAGTAAACAGATATAACTGATAGTAAAGTCAAAAAGAGTATATGACAAATAGAAAAGTGATAGAATACTACTCGATTTCCCTTTGCAATAATAATAATAAAACAAATTCAAGTTACATTTTCCGTTGGTGATGCATTGGTAGAATACCCGCCCACCACACCTCATATGGTGGTGGGTTCTATCCCTAGCCGACGCACTCCTTAACCTCGCTTAGCCAATAGTAAACCTGGAGAAGAGGTAAGGCTGGATATGAGACTGGCAACACCATCCTGCAAAACACTGCTACTGAGACCTCAACACTCAAGTTCGAAAGCCTACGTCCCACTAGGGACGTCTTGTAAGCTAAACAATTCATAAAGAATAGTAAGTCAGATCATCGAACACAAGTGACAAAATTACAAGGACTATCATTTTATTATTCATTGCAAAAATATTCACAGTTGAAGTTACAACCAAGAACAAGATTCCCAGTAGAAAAGAGAAAACTGAACAGTGTTTGTCATCAACAATAATACGAATAACACTGCAAAATGTTTCTGATTATATTCGGCAATATACATCAAACTTAAACAGAAAGACAAGTTAAAATCTATAAATTAAGGAGTTCAGAGTAAATGGGAAGATAACTTATTAAAATTTGTTGTTTATGATGGAGGCGGGTGGGAATACAATGAAATAGGTACAAGAATATAATTTAGTCACTGTAGCAGATCACAATTCCATTGCTAAAAATTACACAGTGATACAGTATTATTTATACTTACTGAAGATGTTTGGAACGCAGTTTATTACTCACGTAACTTCTTCAGATTTTGTTTATATAATTCTATTATTTCCCATTCGTTGATTCTATTGGTCATAATATTTCCCATATCCCTGGTATCGACGTTGTATCATTCTCATTAGACGTGTTGGATGTAGACTGAATGAACACGATATTCAGTGATCAAACTCTTGCACCGCCTACTTATATTACTTTTTAGAATTTTAGAGCTCTATCCCTACATTGTTGTGTGTTGTGTTAGAAATTCACTGACAAAAATTCACTGCACATCACAAAATCTCCTTTCGTCGTAGTATCAACCGGAATTGCAACAACAAGAAGTCGTACACTTCCCCGAACAGTTCTCCATCAACTATCTGGAACTAGCAGTTTGCACAAGTCTCTACGATTGTATATTAGGGAACTAAAGCTATAAAGAATTTTAAAATGTCTACTCAGAAGAACTCAGATACAAATAATCGCATTTTAAAAAAAGTGTTTCACTTGTAAACAGTTGTGTTGTATCCACACGATAGTGCCACTTTGTATAACAGATAGACTAACTAAACCAAATAATATCTACCTTCATACAATTCAAGGCATACCTTTCCAAGTGTACCCGTAATTGCATCTATCCTGTGCATTTGTCCATCACGTTCAGCAACTCCAGCTCCATGTGTACCATACAAACCGACAGCATGAACTTCATCAACAAATGAGAGTGCTTTATTGGCCTCAACAACATCCAATAGGCCTTTCAATGGGCAAACATCACCTGAGATAATACCAAAAAACATGCACAATTTCCAATCAGATCAAGCAAATAAATTGTAAGAAAAAAAATGGAATATCAGACTAACCATAAGTATGAAATTCAGCTTTAAAAAAAGTTGTTCAAAAACAGGATTGTTTAACAGAAGCCCATAAAATATCAGCTACTTATATACTCGCTAGTCCTGGGACGGCATGGAAAGGCGGAGAGGTGGTCAGTCCATGACGCGACACCGTGGGATGAAGGGTATTTTTGCTAGATTAGCACCAGTTGGTGCGTCACGAATCCCTGGTTGGAGTCTGAGAGATAGCTCGAAACGTTATCGGATATGACCAAGAATCGTAATCAATGACGAATGTGTTGCAATTTCTTTCTTTCTTCCCTTCCCGATGATAGTTGTCGAATGCTGTTTTAACTTGTTAAATATGACTGTTTTCCTTTCAGATGAAGTTCTTTATCCGTTCTCCAACCATATTTTTACTTTTAATCTATGTTGTTTTATTATTGTTGTGTGTCGCATCTTTTTGGTGCCATATTGTACCAAGTTTTTCTACGTTTAAATAAATATGCTTACCTACCCATCTAATAAACACTATTTAAAATGAGATTCATCTTTCATACCACGAAAATCGATAGTAACAAATAACAATCAGAGCTCTAAATCAATTTCCCAGTTGACTGATAGACTCCGACGCAGACTATAAGCTAGGGGACTACCATTAATTACTCATGGTGTGGTGAGAGCAGGCTGCTAGCCGATTGGTTGGCACTAATCTACGTTAAGGTCTAGGTCACTAATATGGGCCGTGAGAAAATATGAACAAGCCTGAGTCAACAACCAATCACAGCAAAGTTAACGTGGCAGAATATGATTCGCAGAGAGAACTCTATTTGTCAAGGAATCCCGAAACAACCAATCAGAAGCCTGCGTTTGTCTACCTAAACAACCAATCAGATGACTGCGCTTGTCTATAATAATGTAGTTGAAAGATGTATAAATACGTGTTGATTTTCATAATAAAACGATCTGTTGCCTGGCCCTTGTCTTCTGTTGTTACATTTGGTGTCGCTGCCTACCGACAAATGAAAAGCCTATACCCTGCAGTTTTTGATGGAGACATATGGATCTTCGGGCAGGACTTCAAGGCTTCTGCGCAGTTGAGTGGCGTTCAAGATCTGTCAGCGATGGAGCTGCTACTTGAGACGCTGCTGGGAGGTCGGGCGAAAGCAGCATATGAAGGTGTGGGCCGAAGTATGGACGAATGTTCGACAGGGTCAGGCAAACAGTTTCCAAAGTGGGAAGGACCATATATGGTCACTTCGAGATGGGGTTACGCAGACACAGTCGCAATGGCGAACAATGAGAGGCGCGTGAACGTCAGCGAGCTCCAGAAATGGATACAGCGAGACAAGCCAACGATGACGCCTGCACCAAGTAGATCAAGCCGACTTCAGTCGCACGTATTTGACGGGGGACGAGTGTGGTGAGAGCAGGCTGCTAGCCGATTGGTTGGCACTAATCTACGTTAAGGTCTAGGTCACTAATATGGGCCGTGAGAAAATATGAACAAGCCTGAGTCAACAACCAATCACAGCAAAGTTAACGTGGCAGAATATGATTCGCAGAGAGAACTCTATTTGTCAAGGAATCCCGAAACAACCAATCAGAAGCCTGCGTTTGTCTACCTAAACAACCAATCAGATGACTGCGCTTGTCTATAATAATGTAGTTGAAAGATGTATAAATACGTGTTGATTTTCATAATAAAACGATCTGTTGCCTGGCCCTTGTCTTCTGTTGTTACAATGGTAGCTAATCGTAAAATAGTTGGTATGCTTACCACCTACGGGATAGATGCAGTTGACTAATCTGTTGCTTTAAATAATTAGTATTTCCTCAATCTGTAGGTATGTGCTACATGCTTCTTATGGTGTTCACCAACCGTACATTTCACCAGCGTCTACACTTGATGGTGTCACAAAAGCTAGTTAAACACGTTTGTCTACTATCGATCTAGAGGACAAAAGAAACCCTTGGTATATATTAAAAATTACATCATTAAAATAACCACTAACACTTATTTTATTTTTATTGTGTAACACTAGTTTATGAATTCCCGCTTCATGTCAATGTTCTGAAATTCCAATCCTTAGAAATTTGGCAGGGTGTATTACTCACTACCACAACAGCTGGCTTTTCAAGTGATACGTTACGAGTTCATTTCAATTTCACTTCAATTTGTGCAAACAGTCAACAGTAAATACTCATAACTTAATGCTGCAACCTGTACTGGGTCCTATTTTATCAAATGGAACCTACTTAACCTTAAATAACATATGGGTAGCACTAAGTTACAATGGCATCACCGAGTACAGTTCATATTATTAAACTTTGAGATGTTATCTAAAAAGCTTCAACGGTGAACACTGTTAGCAGATTCCGTAGGAATACGAAAGAGACACTTAGTTTATTATCACCTATTTGTATGCTGTTTACTCAAATAGGACTTCAAGTTATCCTATTTAGTGGTATACACAGTAGCTAGATTGATAATGAATTTCTCAAATATATGACACTCACAAAAAGTAATATTATTTATACAATACAGTGATGATGCCAAAATATTACCTGACATTGAATGCACTGTTTCAAACGCAACTAATTTCGCTGAACTCCTAGGAACAGTTGACAGTAGAGAAGACAGATGTTTGATATCATTATGCCTATAGATAACTTTTGGACAACGACTAGTTCGAATTCCATGAATCATTGATGCATGATTCCCAGCATCAGAGAATATTGTTAAACCTGGTATACGAGTCCCTAGAGTATGCAATGCAGCTTCGTTAGCTACATAACAACTTGTAAAAACTAAAGCTGCAGGTTTTCCATGCAAATCTGCTAATTCAGCTTCTAGTTCTTCGTGTAACATTGAATTGCCAGATATATTACGTGTACCACCAGAACCAACACCATGCTTCCGTATGGTGGAACTGAAAAACAAACAACAGAAATAGGAATGATCTGCATTATGTGTAAAGTGATGCGAATGCAAAGTATGACTCAGGAAAGATATACGTTGACTACTTTAATATAGATCATACTCAATGCAGTCACTAAGCATTTCTACTAAATCACAAAAGCATACGTTTCACTTAGTTGGACTAACAAACTAAACCTCTGAAACAATCATAGTATAGTCTACTTTACAACACATATGTTCGTGGTAAGACAATGATAATGTTTAAGAAGTATCTAAAAATGGATGATCCTCTAGTTACATTTTACTAGCTAACAAAAGAGGGGACACACACACAATCCCATGTTAGTTTCTCTATTTAATTTGCCCCCATAAATGACCTGGTACACCCGAGGGTGAATACACTTTCGTCTTTCTCTCGAAATACTCTCATGTGGCCACGTGTTTATAGCCTCTGCGAGGTAAGTCTTATTTATTGCCTCGGAGAAGCGGGGGTGTTCCTTACAAAAGTAAAAAAGGGGATGCGAACATCTGGTGCCTACAACCGAACTAGTGGATATGCAAGTCTACCTAAGGGAACTGGAAAACCCTGGTCCCAAATCTATAGTATATATGGGCTCTAGAATTCAAAAGAATCGAGTGGCGCATAAACCTGATGCTCAAATGCTGCCTTGTAGACAGGAATTTTTAAAAAAGGTGGCCCTTTCAGAAAAAAACCTGCTTTGGTCTGTTTTTCGAGGTAGTATACCACTCCTCACAAAAACTATTTGTGCAGCGCATCCCTTGGTGTCAATAATATACCAAGGTTGTGTTTTTTTAGTAATAATGATAATTTCCTATTTAATTCAGCATATAATGATGTAGTATTAGTTGAACGAAGTTTCCAATACAATTTTCTGCTCACCAACTCATCAAAGTAATTACATCCCTGAAAAACTTTTTATTATTCCACACCTCATATTTTTCTTTCATATTTTCTTGTAGTACAGGTTTAAAGATATCTCCAGCGTTCGCTGAATCACTATTGAGGCATATACATTAAACGTTGATTCAGTGCACAAGCTCTAAAGTCTAACACAGTTCGGTGGAGGCAAGGATTGATTAGTTCATACTAGCCCATCGAATCGCTAATACTATCCTAATTGAGTTTACAAAGATAGATACTAACATCCTCGAAATATTCAAACGACAATAGTGTTACGTAAATGCATTAAAAAAGATACAAGGTTTTATGGACACCAAAATTTCTAAGAATTCATTAAAGACCAGAGTCCTGCAAAGTGTTTCGACAGTATCTACTGAAATAATAAAGTGCTTTGGTCAATTTATGAAGGATCATTATATTCTAAATATTAGACCTGACCAATGTTTATAAATTTTGGCGTTCCCTTTATATTATTATCTACTCGATATGCAGCAATCCCATGTCACATGCTTACCACAATGTCTATCTTTTTCAATGTTATTCTCAATGAGGCTACACTGATAAACATTCATGAAGACAAATGACTTAAGAATCGTTATCATAGTAAAGATGTACATGACTTACATCGCCACTTCTTGAACTTTTGGATGCCAACTCATGCCTAGATAATCATTGGAACACCATACAGCTACACGACGTTTTACACCAGTTGAATAATCATCTGCAAACGGGAATTCCGCCGCGTCTCTTAAAATTCTCCTGAATACTCGATAGGTAGAATCTTTCTTTTTCTTTTCCACTTCAGAGGCAAAAAATTCATTATACTCGAAACCTGAATCATTATCATCATTCGATTCAAATAATTTTAAATCTTCACTAGCAATATTTCTTGACTGTACTGTTGGCTGTAAACATCCCTTGTCAACCATACTTTTACGCCAGCCAGCAAACAAAGCACATGTATTGGGAATAGACATTTCTACAAAGAATGTCAAATGAGGATGAGATATTTTAATATTCAACAACAAAATACATACAATATAAAAGCATAACAGACTTTACCTATAGAGTTTCGTAAATTTGATGTTGTGATGCATTAATGCAGCTACGTAACGACGGCTTTGTCGTGCATACCATAAATCTTAGCTACGCCGATCCATTAAGTTTAGCAACATCGGCAACCAACTTACCCTCCTTACAAAACTCTGCGCTTATACTAATTATCACTTTGACCAATCTTACACGAGAGATTGGAACAGTGAACTTGTGTCCAAGAAACTGGGTGTTTCACATCCATTAGGTAATACAGAGTGAACTGCTGCACAAAACATGTTCCTTGATAGATAGATGGATATGAGGTGTGTGCCAAAAGTGAAGCAATTTAGCAGATGACCAACAAGCCTCTTATGTTAGTGCTGAGACAATTAACCAATCACTAGTTTATCAAGACAAATACAACTTCCAAAATAGGCGAATAGTTCAACATGTTCAACCATTTCGCTCCTTACGCTCAAAATACGGGTCTACGTTGACCAATCTCATAGCATCACCTTAAATTTGACAGGTACGCTGTAAAAATTATACATAATGAGTTCTGTTTATGTGGTTCAGAAGAGCCTCCATTATATTAGATTCCTCACTAACCACTTAAGTGGAATGATAATGCCTAGAATCAGAGCAGTCGTTTTAGAGATTGCCACCCTACCCTGAGATTCCATTGTGCTTACATTTAGAAACGAAAATTTCCACACTGAGAATAGATTTACAGTAGCGGGAGGACAACGGTTCTTGACATGGACATCTACTCCCACGGGAAATCGTGACGGAGTCTAACCAGTATTTGCAAATCTTGTAAACACTTGCTTCGGATAAAAGTGAAAATCAACGACTTATATGGTTTATCTGTAGTCAGAAGGGACATGATTTAAAATCAATTCAAAGAAATACTCCATAAGTTTAAGAATTCTTCAAAACTCAACATTATACAACGTAAATTGCATCGCACTAAGGACTTGTAATGATAGTAGAAAATTGTGCAAAAACTCCTGAGAAACACTAAGAAGAGGGATTTGGAGGAGACATATCAGTAACTTCAAACATTTTAAAAATCAACATTCATGATGCTAGTGTAACGTTAGCAACCACTAGCTTAGCTTCATAAAATAAAGCAATATGTGTTTCAACCAGTTATTCATTGAGGTGTACATAAAATTTCTCCGACCACAAATTTATTTTTAATCACTAATAATCTTAATTTAAAATTAACTATTTTCAACCTACCATTTGAAAAACCACCTGAATGGTCATGAGACCTTTCACAGTTGTAACTGTTAGTGGTTTGAGAACACGAGTGAGACTCTGAGCTAGCTAGTTCACTTGAATTGAGAGTGTACGGACATTTTTTCAAAAGACATTCTGAAACATTCTCTGAAATAAAAAAGTGTATAACAATAGTATTAATGAATAGGTGTGAAGAACGAAACAAGCTGAAGCAAACCCAGCTACCTAAGTAATTAGACGCGAAGCACATTTATTACTTGTTGATATTAACTGGTACTTACTATAAGTACCAACCTAACTGAATAGCACCAATGGTCATGAGCCGTTTTGTAAATTATATATATATATATATATATATATATATATATATATATAAACATAAAACGCAAGACACTGAGTTAAATGTCTAAGCCAATGAGCTGCACAATATTCATATAACTTATCTGAAACTAACTAGCCTCCAAAAGCAATATAACAAACATTTAAACTGAGTATAGATTATTAAGTTATCAGAAACAACTAACTCCAAACTTAAACTTACTGCAAACCAAGGACTGTTCTGAATGAGGCTCTGAGGCAACAGTCGAACACATCCTTGTACTGCAGAGTGGAGTTCCAGCAAACAAACGGCTTGCGAACGGACATTTCGGTATCAACTTTACCAACTGTTGAACATCCCTCTGAATCACAGTAGGAGATAACTTGCGTAAGAAGGGGCAGGATGTCATGTTTTAATCTAAACAAAAATCAACGGAAAATACCACTGATAGTTTAATGACTGCTTGTTAATGATAAAAAGAACACACTAACCGCATCGTGTAAATTAATATGGGTACAAAACTGTAGTGCTACAAGTCACTTATGGTGACTGGTGAAGACCCCTCAAATGAAAAACACATCAATTTCGACAATTGATTGTGAATGATCAATGACGTTGTGAAAAAAAGCTGCCAAATAACTCTTAAAAACCGTACGCTGCGACTAACCGGATGAGAAGTTGAAGTACTCTTCTACAAAGTTTGGAGTTGTGTTCACACTAATCAACTGCTAATCAATGGGCAACTAACAGGCCAATTCATACACCTGGAAAACACTGCTTGAGAGAATTTAATCTAGCTTGTTTCACCTAGTGTTGGTGTGACAGCTACCTCAAAGTTGGATTGTTACAAAGATCCATGTTGAATGTAGAAGTCGCAAGACGTCTTGTTAAAGGTACCTTTAACAATAGTAGTCCAGCTTTGGAACAAGTTACTTTAACGGGATATTTTCACTAAGGTTACATCAAAAACGTACTTCAGCTGAAAACCTAAATTTATTGCTAACAATAGTTTAGGCCTTCATAAAAATATGGTCAATTGTTTGTGGTAAATGATTGGATCTGTTTCCCCAGCCAGCGCAACTTTGAATACCACCACAGCTAGATTCGGCAACATTCACATCCGAAGTGATTAATTACCAGAAAAGATAACTATATTGTAACTATATACACTATACACGGATGCATCTCAAGATAGTCTTATATATACATAAATTCAATGCACGAGAGTAGTTCACTTAAACAGTCAAGGAGAATGACTGAAGTGTTTTTATTCAAATTCGGTTAATCCGAAACAAAATACGACATAGCAATCAAAAACAAGACAATTTAATAACCCACCAAATAACCTAACACGTACGCCTCGTAAATTAGTGCTGGCGCGAAACCTTGGATTATCTCATGCACTGCTACACTTAAACAAACCCCTGCATAAAATTAAACTTGTCATCCAAGTGTAGGAGAACCGATTTATTCCTGTCCGAAGTTTACATATCCTAGTATGTTTATAACCACTTCCGCCCAAAGCTGATTACCATAATTAATGACTTCCAGCTATTTTTTTTTATTTTATTTTTTTATTTTATGGTTACAGCTTGATTTCACACCGTATTTTTGGTACAAGTGTGGAATTTTCAGCGTGGATATCGGCAGCCCAAAATTCGCAGGCCAACCATAGATATCAGGTGTGCGTCGGCGTGGGCTCGAACCCCGGACCATGTGCATGGTCGGCGAGAGTCCTAACCACTGTGCCACCGACTTCCAGCTATTTCTTACGAGGAGATATTACTCCATTGCTTTGCGTACCGAGTGATATACTGGGCTTCAAACTTGAAGTTTCAGTGTAAGTCTCCAAGATCAGAGATTTCGAAATGAAGCCACTTGAACCTCTTGCATCCATATTTATAGAGGAAGTTATTTAGGAAGAGGTGGCAAAATAACTGTAAAAAACAGTATGCTAAACGTTATGTATTTTGTTTCTACCGTTATGTGGACAAAACTTCAACTGCATGACCTGATTGCATTCAAAAATCTTATCCCATGTCATTTTCGATTGATTTCTTTCTCCCTTGAAAACCTGAAAACCTTGATGATTAAAGTGGACATAATTTGTACTTTGTTTTGGTTATACGAAGGACCGTCTCGCCCACTGGAAAGATCTTATAATGTATTTAATTGGTTAACTGTCCAAATGAAGATGAAATCAAGTTGCTATGTGTATCAGCCTAAAGTACCAAGTTAGCATAAACTCAAAAAGAGGAATTGCTTTTTGCAGTTCTGAATATAAGCCTTAAGTCAAAACATTTATTGATGTATTGAGAGTTTACCCACAGAGGCAAATCCATGAATCAGTGGGTTTGTACATGTAGTGTAATGGCTCTTAACAAACACGCCTAAATGAAAAAAATCCGATCAAATTCCATTAATACTAGTATGCACTAGATTTAAAGTCACATAATTATATAGAAAATCAAAACAAGTGATCCAGCGAAGAGACTCTTTTCAACGAATTTATTATCAAGCTGCACAATCGTATATATATATGGTTTTTGAGAAATTGTATCCACTGAGGGAATCATATTTTGGCCCTACCAATTTTTTGACTATTCATTTTGTATGCTCCTCCTGTGTTGCGCAGGTTCCAACTTCTTGGAGAAGAAAGCAAGTGGAGAGCTGTCATTGTTGAACTTCTGTTGTAAAACTGCTCCCACTGCTACCTGCGATGCATCTGTACATAGAATGAGTGAAGCTTCCGGTTGATGTGAGACATTACAACGTTGGATAAGGCATCTTTTGCATTATTAAATGCTGCTCTTTGCCTCTTCAGACCACTGAAATTTCTTCGAATTGCATCTAAGTAGGTCGGTCAGTGGCTGAACTATGGAGGCACATGATGGAATAAAACGTCGATGGAAGTTGAACATCCCGAGAATACGTCTAAGTTTCTTTAAGGAATCAGGTTCCGGAAGGTTCTTAATAGTTTCTCTCTTATCTTCAGTAGGTCTGATGCCTTCCGCAGTCATTCGATGTCCTAAAAATTCAGTGGAAGAGGAACCAAAAATACATTTGTTTGGATTGATAACAAATCCAAATTGTTCAAACCCTTGAAATAACAGGCTTAAGTGTTCCATATGTTCTTCCATCGATGAGCTGGCAATTAAGACATCGTCGATATATACAAAGACGAAATCAAGACCTTGGGTAACTTGGTCCATAAAACGCTGAAATGTTTGAGCGGCATTCTTTAATCTGAAAGGCATTCTCAAGAATTCGAATAATCCAAAAGGCGTGATAATTGCTTTTTTACAATGTCTTCTGGAGCGACTGGTATTTGATGATGTGCTCTGACCAAGTCAACTTTAGTAATAATGGTCTTTCCATGTAAGGTCAAGGAGAATCGTGGAGATGGGGTACAGGATTACGGTCTGGGACCGTAGCATTATTCAAAGCACGATAGTCTCCACATGATCGCCAGTCGTGATTAGTTTTGGGTACCATATGCAAAGGTGAAGACCATGGACTGTTAGATGGTCGTATGATGCCTAGCTGCATCATATGTTCGAATTCCAACTTAGCTGCTGCTAGTTTATCGGGTGGTAACCGTCGTGGACGAGCCTTCACAGGTTGTCCTGTTGTGATGATCTTATGAGTGACTGTATGAGGTATGTCCTCGACGTTGTATGACGGTTTAAGGATTTTAGGAAATCGTTGCGATAAAGCAGAGAACATTTCCCTCTCCGGCTTTTCTATACAGATGCTATGAACATAGTAGTCACATGTAATACCGTGGATCTTGGGTTGGGTGCAATTGTAAACCAGTTTTTTCTTGCTGATATCAACTAACGGATTGAAATGACTTAGGAAGTGTGCACCTAGTATAGCGTGACGTACGTCAGCTACTATGAAGATCCACGTGAAACGTCGGCGTAGTCCTGAGTTTAAAATCATTGACTGTTCGCCATACGTCTGTATGTTGGTTTGGTTCGCAGTATGGAGTGAAAGTTTCCCCGGTATTTTGGCTGATCGCCTGGATAGTGAGGGGGGAATAACACTGACTTCGGCGCCTGTATCTACCAGGAATAATGTGCCGGTAGTCAAATCCCTCACATAGAAAAGGCAACCGGGTGATTGCCAGTAACAGCCGTCGCCATTACTGTCTGGCTGGGGAGTTTCCCTGAGTTGAGTTACCACTGTTGTACATGCACGGTCGAACGCACTTCAGGGCATTATGCCCATACCTCCTATGATGCCAACAAATGTTACGGCTTTGAGACGGTGTTCTAGAACGTCGTCGACAACGGTACGCGGTACGTTCGAATCTGGTGAAACTTTTGCACGTGTTTTCGCTGATATTCATTTTTCTGTTCTGCTATATTATCACCAATAATAATGGGCAAAAGCTATAAAAAACGTGTTCTTAGGAACACTAGTAACTTAGAAAATAGCTTAAGCTTATCGAGTAACGCATTAACACCCCTTAAATCAGCTGCAGTTAGTAGTTCACCCAATATAAACGGTTCCAACATAATGCTAACCCCTGTAATTCAGGTGGAAGATATCCTGTCACAAAAGGGAGAGATTACTAACTTAGCCTGCATCATAAATGACATGCAGCTACAAATAAATGAACTCAGGACGAAACTAAATCAACTTGACCTGGTACCAGAAACAATCCTCCATCTTAAAAGGGAACTGGGGGATCTCACTTTCCTAAAACTCTTTAAGCTCAGGACTAAACCAACCGATGCTGAATTGGAACATGCTAAGGAGCTAGAAAACGTTATGGACTATTTGTCGAGCGAAGTTGTTAAGAGACTTGCTTCTAAACAGAACGCCATAGTGTACAACATACCTGACAAAGAGCCCATAAAATCGGTTCAGCACTCCTTGTTAAGAGCTGCCAACCTTCTAAGTACACCCTGTCAGTGTATTAGACTAAATAAAAAAGAGACAAACCGCACATGTCCCATACTTTTCAGGTTTGACAGCTGTATTATAGCCGAACAATTCAGGAAATCTGAGGATATTTTGGCTTCCACTACAAAATTCAAAAATCTTAAAATAGTCCCGGACAAAACCCCCAACCAACGACAAGTAGCTAAGAACACCATAGATACAAACACGATTATACCACAAATCGTGAATAGCGTCAGCATCGAAGTGTCAAAGAACACTGTAGCACAAAGTGACACTTGCACTGTAGTAGGTGAACAAACGACACGAGAAGGCGAAGGGAAACCCAAAAAGAGCAGTAACACTGTAATTGGTCTCGAAGTTCGTGAGAACACTCCTAGTAAATCTACTGACCACACCCATGAAGTAGATGTAGATGCTCCTACTACCGATAACCTGCAAATATCGGCAGATCACACTGCACCCAGGGCCAAACAAGATAATCCCACTGTAAAAGCCGTAAAGAAGTCCCCTAAAACCAAGGTTTCTCCTCATGCGTCCATATACCTCCCTTGTGACAAGCCCAACAAGCAGCATATAAGCCTAAAAAATAACTATGCACGCATTGCGGCAGGTCCCATAAAGGAGACGGAAGACGTGAATGGAAGAGCTCCTCGTCGAACTAAGAGTAGTAGACGAATTGAGGACGACAGACTGCACAAGGTGAGAACTAACGGCAAAAATAGCTCTACCCACACAAAATCACACGCCAGCAGATATGCAAGGGGCACCGAGCTGATCAAACAGCAGAGTGATACCCACGATTTCCGCAATAGCCGAGGTTGTAATATGCCTGTAGGCACATATAACCTGAGGACGGGACCCATAATCAATAATGAAAACACATGGGCTACTAGACGGGACACCACTAGGTACCATATCAACGGAAATGTATACTCGAACCCTCGGCATAACGGGTATAGATTGGCCCCTGGTCCTTCTAGGTACACTCACGAGATGAGTCAGCAAATGTACAACTACGTAAGACCTAGCACGCACTATCCTCAAAATAACCTAAAAACAGGGTACTATGGCCCTGTAAATTACAATGTGAACAGTGAAACAGACTATTTTATGCAGAGAAATGATCCTAGATACCCACGTAATGAGGCCAGAAACGATTATATGCAACAGGATTATTTTCGGTTGCAGCAAACAATAGCCCCCCTCGCAGCACAATTTGTCCAGGGAATAGTAAACACGCTGACAATGTCTCATATGAGGATCCCTCCGAACATAACATAGGCAACCAGGAGTTAGGGATAGTAACAAGAAAACCTACTAACTATCCCAACAACCCTGGTTTTCTGAAAATTATGCTTTTAAATGCTCGATCTCTCCTTAACAAAATAACTTCCCTTCGCAGCTTGGTATACATGGAGCGGCCTACACTGATTCTGG